CTGCTGCTGCTGCTCCAGCTGCTGCTGCTGCTCCAGCTGCTGCTGCTCCAGGTACTGCTGCTGCTCCAGGTACTGCTGCTGCTCCAGCTGCTGCTGCTGCTCCAGCTGCTGCTGCTGCTCCAGCTGCTGCAGCTGCTCCTGCACTTTTAGCTGCAGCTGCTGCTGTTCCTGCAGCCTCTCCAGCTCTTGCTGCCTCGCCAGCTCCTGCCGCTGCTGCTCCAGCTCCTGCTCAGACCCCACATCCACCGGCATAAGCTCCAGTTCCACCTCCTCCTCCTCTGGCTGCAGTGGAGGAGGATGCAGCTGCTGGTGCTGCTGCAGCTGTTCCTGCTGCTGTTGCAACAACTCCTGCTGCAGCAACTGTTCCTGCTGCTGCAGCAATAGTTGGTGCTGCAACTGTGCCTGTTGCAACAGCTGCTGCTGCAACTCTGCCTGTTGCTGTAGCAATATATGATGCTGTAGCTGTCCCTGTGGCTGCAGCAATAATATCTGCTGCTCCAAGTGTTGCTGTTGCAACTGTCCCTGCTTCTGCAAGTGTTGCTGTTGCAACTGTTCCTGCTGCAGCAACAGTTGCTGCTGTTGGAGTAGCAGCTGCTGCAACTGCTCCTGTTGCTCTTGCAACCGCTGCTGCTGCTGCAACAGCTGTTGCTCTTGCAAACACTGTTGCTCTTGCACTTGCCGTAACTGCAATAGTTGATCTTGCACATGCTGCAACAGCAATTGCCTCTGCTCTTCCAATAGTTGCTCTTGTTGGAGAAGCTGCTCCTGCTCTGACTGTTGCTCTTGCACTGGCTGCTGTAATGGAAGTTGTTCCTGCACTTGCTGCTGCTGCTCCGGCTGCTGCAGTAGCAGGACTTGCTGCTGTGGTTCAGGTTCATACACTTGCTGCTGCATGAGATGCTGCTGTAGAATTTGCTGCTGTTGCAGCTGTTCCTGCTGCTGTTGAAACGGCTGTAGTGCTTGGTTTGGAAGCTGCATTGTCTCATGTGGCTGCAGCAACAAAGGTTGCTCTTGTCCAAGTCTCCCTGGCGGCACCACCTGCAGCTGTGGTTTTGGCTGCTGATGCTGCATAGACCGGTTTTCCTGTCGTTCTGGCTGCGGCAGAGACCGCTGCTGTTGCCCATCTTGCTGCTGCTGCAATTCTGGCTGGGGTCCTAACAGTTGAGGCTGAGGCTGCTGCTCTTGCAACTGCTTGTGCTCGGGCTGTCTTTCTAGCTCTGGCTGTGGCTTTTTTACTCGCAAGTCCTGTGGTTCCTCCTGCTCTGGCTCAAAATAGTAACAGGCCCCCATAGAGGCTGCCAGCACTGGCTGCTGAGGATGGCCGCTCCCCTCCTGAACCTCTTCTTCCTCCTGACTTTCATTCCCACCACTGCCACCTGTAGTGGAAATGGCAGGAAGCCAGGAGAGAAGGATTGATGGGCAGGGATCTGGACAAGACCCCCAAAAGGCTACACTAAGGGGCTCCGAGTGGGGACCCAAAAATGTGAGATCAAGTGGCAATAACAACAGGACAAACATTCCCAGAGTCCCCCTGGTCACCCCACTCAGACTCCCACTGAGCCCCCTTCAAACTCATCCAACGCTTAGCTCTTGGGGCTCCTAGCAACATTCCCTGAAATGTGTCGGGCTCCTAGTGCAGGGAGACCAGCTATTCCAGTGGCTGAGCTCTGGAGCCATTTATGGTCACACTATCTATCTATCTATCTATCTATCTATCTATCTATCATCTATCTATCTATCATCTATCTATCTATCTATCTATCTATCTATCTATCTATCTATCTATCTATCTGGTTTTTTGAGACAGGATTTCTTTGCATAACCCTGGCTGTCCTAGAATTAGCTCTATAGACCAAGCTGGCCTTTTGAACTCACAGGGATCTGCCTGCCTCTGCCTCCCAAGGACTAGGATTAAAGGTGTGTGCCACCACCGCCAGACAACGGTCACACCTTAAATAAGTGAAATTTGCCTTGTCTGTGAAGAACAAGCCATTTCTATAAAGATATAGCAAGCCATTTCTAGAAAGCACTGATGCATCAAGGAAGCCCGGGGCCAGGTAGGGTGTCTGTACTTCAGAAGTTAACTGAAAAGTCAGGCACGGCAGCACATCTGTAACTCCAGCCTCAGAGGATGGAGAGAGGAGATCCCTGGCAGAAGCTGGACAGGAAGACTAGCCATACAGATAAGCTGTGAGTTCGATTCGGAGACCCTGTCCCATGAGTAAGGTGGAAGGGTGATCCAGTATGACTTGACAGCAATGTGGGGCCTCCAAACACACATGCACGCATGTCTATACACACCCATCCACACGAGCTCCCAAATGCAGACAAGAAACATGAATACACACACGCACACCACACGTATCACACACACACAGAGATAGTTCCGTGTAATCATATTTTACAAAAACAAGGTTTCTAATCTTACCTTTGTTGAATGTATTTGTAAAATCTGTGTGTCTTGTGTATAAGTGCATGTGTGTCCATCCATGCATGTGCTCGTGGGAACATAGGTGCTGCAGCCCATGCGTGTGCTCGTGGGAACATAGGTGCCGCAGCCCATGCGTGTGCTCGTGGGAACATAGGTGCCGCAGCCCACCTATAGGAGTCAGAGGACAGGCTTGGGTGTTGGACCTGACCTTCCATTTTGAGGCAGGGTCTCTTGTCTGCCGCTGCACAGGGCAGCCAGGCCGGCTGGCCCTGGAGCATCCAAGGATCCTCCTGCCTCTGTCTCTTGCCTCACCACAGAAGTACCCCGATTACAGACATGAATGATAACAATGTTTCTACTTGAATTCTGGGGACTCAAACTCTTGTCCTCAAGCCTTGTAGGACAGACACTTTCCCCACTGAGCCGCCTCCCCAGCCCCTGGAGCACTTTTTCTTTTTTTCAGAGACACTTCTACAGAGCAGCTGAGTATTGGGTTGTAGATGGAGACAGCTATGGGAAGCTGTCCCTAGAGCTTCTTTCTCCTGCCTCCTCTGCAGGGACAGACCTCACCTAGGGGTGAATCTCCTCATTTCTAGCTTGATCACTTGGTCACTCTGACTTCCTGGGACAGCAGTTTCCACAGAAGCCTTTTATTGGCCATGTAGTTAGATGTCACCTCAAGTATATGCCTGCTAGTGTTAAATTTACAAGTGGAAAGAGTCTTTGTTCAATTCATAGGGCCCAATTTTATCATTCTAGTCTAATTCTCCTGATATATATATATTCTCTCTCTCTCTCTCTCTTTCTCTCTCTCTCTCTCTTTTTCTCTCTCTCTCTTGCTCACTCACTTGCTGTGCAATAGTGTCTCATTGTATATAGCCCTAGCCTGGAGCTCACTAAACAGGTCAAGCTGTCAAACTGTGACCCTCTTGCCTGACTCTTGCAAGTTCTAGGAATTCCAGTCAAATGTCCCCACGTCCAGCTCTTCCTGGTTCTCTCAACTCTGTTCAAGCCTGTCCCCTACACTGTCACTTGCTTTAAAGCACAGAATGTGAAAACTGACTCCTGTCCATCCTTAAAGGCTGTCTACCCCTGCATGGGTCTCAGGGAGGGGACTGGGAAGTTCCACACCCTGGGAGCCGCTGTGTGGCAAGTGGAAGGAAGGAGACAGATGTTGAGAAAATGAGACCCGGGTAGAGGTAAGGACAGGAGAGAAGCCATTCAGCCAGTGTCTGAGGCATCATAGACAGAGAAAAACCCTCCAGCCCCAGGTGGGAGATGGTGGGTGGCACCTGGGGAAAAAAGGTTAGAGCCAGCCCAGGGTCAGGGGTGAGGCTACTGGATCTGTCAAGGTGTCTCTGTCTCCAGCAAGACCTTGGCCTGACAGCCACCTCAACAGGTCCTAAGTCAAGTTTCAAGGTAGCTGGGTTTAGCAGGCGTGAATATGCTGGTCACACATGGGGTCCCTCTGTGGCGGTCTGGACTGTGCCAGCTTGCAGCTCAACTAAAGAATCCTTGCTGGGAGTCCCCATTGTCTCCACACCCAACCCTCACCTGAGAGGGTGTCAGGCCCTGGACCCCCATCCTCAAGACATCGAAGCTCCAACACAAAAGTCTTTGTTGCTGGGCCCAGCTCCATCCTGGCGGTCACACCAGGGTCTCCCGGAGCAGGCTGTGCTACGAGGAATAAAGGAAGCTGTTCAGAAGGGAGGTGATGGTAGCTGAACCCCATTCCTAAACAGAACAGGCGAAGCTGCTAGTTGCTGGATGTATACGGGGATTCACCTGCACTCACCAGTGGCCCTCTTGCCCCAACACTGACACATAACTGTGGGAACTAACCTCTCCCAAGGCTGGAAGCTTGTGGCACACCTGAGGGTAGCCCTGGGCACAGCTCCTGTCCCCTTCCAAAGTATGACCATCCCCCAGGCTTCAAAAGCTACCTCAAGTCCCTGGGAAGGTAGGTGTCCCGAGCACTGTAGCCCATGGCAGGAGCCTTCTGCAGGCCTGTGCTCCTGTCCTGAGTCCACTCTGAAGAAGAGGTCTGCACATTCGGAAGTCCCCTCTCCCCCATGCCAGCTGACTACATGTCCCTCTGGCTTTTAGAAGCCCTCCTTAGAGAAGCAGCTCTGCACGCCTGCAAGGATCTCCCGCCAGGCCTCACCTGGAACAGCATTTCCCGCCGGCAGCAGCCTCTGTGCTAGGGGAGGTGTGGTCACCAGTGGCCACAAAGTGAAGGCCACGGCCGTTCAGCCTGCTCCTTCCGGAGGTACCTCCATCTACAATGAGCCACGGAGGCTCTGACCACCCCTGGGAGAACCTTTTACAGGCACTCTGCGGGGTCGTCGCTGTCAGAGCAGCGGAGGTCGCCCTGGGCCAAGACAAGGTGCAGAGTGGAGTTCCCAGGCAGAAGTTGGTGGCGACGCTCACGTAGGGACAGGGAAGGGAGGCAGGGCTCCGAATCCAAAGCAGGGATCAGGGTTGGTCCGGGTGCGCAGCAGGGCCCAAACTAGGGCTCTAGGTTGGCTCGGTGAGAACTGGGTGACAATGGTCCTGGATGATCATCCGCCACAGGTGCCGGGAGACGGGGGGGGGCGGCGGGGGGGTGCGAGGGGGCGGGCATCAAGGCAGGGCCAGGTTCCCGATCGCTCTCCCGCCCTCCCGTGCTGTGCGTCCGTGCGGGAAGAGGCCAGGCCGGGGCGGGGGCGCTGGGGGGCCGGCACAGGAAGTCCCCCCGGCATCCGCATCCTGTCCCCCGCCCTTGCCGCCCGCCGCGCCCCCGCGCCCCGGCCCCCGCCACCACCACCGTGGCCGCTGCATTAGCCTTAGCCATGGTCGCCGCTGCCTCTCTAGGCCGCGCCGTCAGCTCTGTGGGCTTAACCCTTCCCAACCCGGCCACTCACCAGGGACCCCCCGGGGGGAGGTGTGGGAAGGGATGGGGACAAAATGGTCGGCCCTGCGTGCTTCTCAGGGTCCGCCGATGCTGGGCGCAGCGCACGCCGCAACGCATCGCCTGGTGCGGTGCGCGTGTCCGTGCACCACAGTTGGCGACTCTCACTGAGGCTGCATGCATGGAAGAGGAAGGGGGCTTTCAGCCACCGCTCCCATATCCTCTGAAGCATAGGCGTGGCTTCAGGGCGCCCTTCTCTTGACTGGGGGTACAATGGGGCTAATTAGCACGTACTTAGTTAGTTAATGGGGAAGCCCCTTCCTGACCTCAGGAGGTTCAGAATAGCCAACCCAGACTCTTGAGTTGGCAGAGATAGACAGGTAGATACTGTGCCAGCTTCATCAGGGACACACTCAGGAACTGAAGGTCCTGCTGGTATCTCTTTTGGGTTCTTGCTCTCTCCAGTAGCCAGAGGACCCCTCATTCAGCTTCCAGCCAGGAGGAGGGGAGTGGAGAGGCCCCCTCCCAGGGGTTTTGAGCCAAGGCAGCTCCAGTAGCTTTTCCCTGTTTGTTTGTTGAGGTAACAAGTTTCCTGCCTGGGGGTAAGAGTAAGAATAGGAATTGAGGTGTGTGTGCTTCTTTTCCAAGAGGCTTGAGCTGACCATGTGTATTTCCCCCTCACTCAACTTTACTAGCAGACCACAGGCTTCTGGAGAATTCACATAAGAAACATTGTTCCAGTTCTGTAGAAAAGAGGCAGGGGACGATGAGGTTAGCCTTGTGAGCGCCCTGGCACTCACAAAGCCCTAGGTTCCATTTCCAGTAGTGCATAAAACCCACAGCATGGTACGTACCTGTAATTCCAGAACTCAGCAGAAGGTTCAGGAGCCCAAGGTCATCCTTGGCTACCTAGCAAGTCTGAGGCCAGCCTGTACTACACTGTCTCAGAAATAAATAAATGGAAAAAAAAAAACAACTTCTGAAAAACTCAAAGATCTGGCAAAACCAAAGCTGCCTCTATAGAGAGGTCCCCAAAAGGGGGACAAGAGCCTTTCCTGGGGTCACAGCCCTGTTCTTCCTGTCTCTCTGCTTACAGTATAGTCTCCAATTCACACTGTTCCTCTTCTCAGAATCCCCAAGCCTGCCTTGAAAATGCCTGACTTGCAGACCAGCAGCCCCGCTTACAAGGAGAATTTGTGCAGAGGGCCAGAGCTGATGTGAGCTGCAGGCACACCGGTAGGGACCCAGCTTTGGAGGCAGGGTAACTTGGAGTGACAAGGGCTTCTGGCAGCCAGGTAACCAGAGGCACCAGATAGTCCTCCATCGTGAAGGTAGAGCCAGGCTGCCAGGCAGCAGTGCGAGGACAGCTGAGCAGACAGGTAAAGAGTGGGCGTGTCTTTCCCTCCCTAAGTGGATGGGAGCCCCTTCCAGAGACCTCAGGCCCTAGTGTTTGCATCCTCCGTGTATCATGTGCGCGTGTGTGTGTGTGTGTGTGTGTATGTATGTATGTGTGTGTGTGTGCGCGCGCACGCACATGCAAGTGTGTGCCCATATGTTCATTTAAAGTGGCCATAGGAAGACGTTGTGTGCCCTCTACTCAGCATTTCCCAGCTTATTCCTTTGAGACAGGGTCTCTCGCTAAACCTGAAGCCAAGCTGGCAGGCAGCATGCCCCTGCCATCCTCTTACCCCTGCCACATCCCCCACACCCCCCAACACTGGGGTTAGGAGCCTGCCAGTATGCAGGCTTTTTACATGAGTGCTGGAGACTCAAGTCCTTATGCTTGCCCTGAAACCTCTGACTCCCACTAAGCCATCTCCCAGTCCCCTTGCCTGGCTCCTTCCCCACTCCCTCGCTTGCATGGCTGGATTCTTCCCAGGAGTGTTTCCACACCCACGGGGCCCTCCCATCCTCCACACAGGCAGCCCCTCTGCTCTCCCACCTGGCCTGAGAACCGTCACCTCACCCAGCAGCTCCCTCCCTGTCACGGCTCTGGCCACCTCCTTGTCCTAAACCTCTTTCCTTCTCCTGCCTAGAAGCAGCAGCACAGGACACTTCTGCTGCCTGACCCTTGCTCTGCCCCACTCTGACCCTTCTGCAGGCTTTTGATGGGGGTGGGAGGATTTCTGGAAGCCATTGCTTACTTTTGCGTCATTACCACATACAAGATGCCATTGTGAAGCATTTCCCATCCATGGCCCTTATTGTATGTGTGTATATGTATACATGTAGACGCCATATGTCAATACCGGGTATTTTCCTCAATCATTTTCCACCTTAAAAAAAAAAAAAAAAACATGATGAGCATTTATTTGTGTGCCTGTGTGTGAGCATGTGGATATTCAAGTGTAGGTGCCTTGGAGTCCACAAGGGGGCAGCACCGAGCCATGTCTCCAGCCCGTCTCCACCTTATTTTTTGACCTGGATCCCTCACTGATTAGCTAAACTGACTGGCCACTAAACTCCAGGGATCAGCCATCTCTGTCTCCGAAGCATGGATACAGGCCTACACCTCTGTGCTTGGCTGTGATATGAGTGAAGGCAAGAGTTGGTGCATGCTTGCCAAGCCGTTCAAAAGCCCCGGAGTTTGATCTCCTTGATCTCCGGCACCCACTCAACCAGTGCTTTCCTGAATTCTGTGTGTTGATCTAGTGCACAGTAAACCTGAGTGGACCATGGGAAATCCTGACTTTGTAACCAGTTGGCCAGGAGTCTGGGTAGACGGGAGACCCTGGAACTGGTCTCATCAGGACTGTGCCCCTAACCTGTGTAGTCAGCGCCCATTCTGGTGGTTATGGTTTTGTTGCAGCTTTGGATGAATGCATGTTTACTGTTTCCATGGTTACACTTAAGGCATTGTCTTTGGGGCTGAGCCTAGGAATTTTCTCCTGAGTTTGTCTGTTCTAACCACTCTGATGTTGATATACTCACTATTTTCTTTTCTTTTTTTCTTTTTTGTTTTTTTCGAGACAGGGTTTCTCTGTATAGCCCTGGCTGTCCTGGAACTCACTCTGTAGACCAGGCTGGCTTCGAACTCAGAAATCCACCTGCCTCTGCCTCCCAAGTGCTGGGATTAAAGGTGTGCGCCACCACCACCCGGCTGTATTTTCTTTTCTTTTTTTTTGTATTGATTGGGCCGTGATTTCTCTTGGCAGCCCTTCGCACATCTGTCTCTTGTCTCAGCCTCACACCCAGTCAAACTGATTAGAAATCTAGCTTTTCTTTTTGGTTTTAAAATCACATTTATTCCCTGGGGCAAGGCAGGGGGGCATGTACCACAGCATATAAGTCCCCTCCTTCTCCCTCGTGGGTCCAAGGAATCAAACTCAGGATGTCAGGCTTGGTGGCAAGCACCTTTTGTCCATGGAGCTGACTACCAGCATTATTGTTAATTTTTCTTTTCCTTTCAGTTTTTTGAGACAGGGTTTCTCAGTGTGGCCCTGGCCATCCTGGAACTTGCTCTGTAGACCAGACCTCAAGCTCAGAGACCCCTCTGTTGAGGCCGTCTTGTATCCCAGGCTGGCTTCAAACTCACCATGTAGATCTTGAGCTTCTGATCCTCCGACTTCTACCTCCTAAGTGCTGGGATACAGGCATGGACCACCATGCCCCGTGTACTCAGTGCTGGGGATCAAACCCAAGGTCACGTGAATGCCAGGCAAGCCCTCTATCACCTGACGTACACTCCAAGCTCCCTTCTGTATAGTTTCTGGCAGGAATTTTGTCAGGAAGAAGCAGACGGCTGCTGACCACACAGCCATGACTGGGACAGTTCTAGCCACTACAAG